AAGCTGTGCAATTCTGAGCTTTTCTTTGCAGTGCTTAACTTCTGTTTTGGTTATGCAGGAGGTTCCTGAGCCAGAGAAGTTTTTTGTTACCCGATGGAGCAATGACCCTTGGCTGCAGATGGCGTACAGCTTTGTGAAAACTGGGGGCAGCGGCGAAGCTTACGACATGATGGCTGAAGACATACAGGGAAAAGTTTTCTTTGCTGGCGAGGTAAGTAGCTTTGTTACCACTGATTAGAGTTACTGGGAGCAGTTTCTCATGGAAGACTATCTCTTGCTACCCAACACCATTAATGTAGAGGTAGTATTTAAATATTCTGTTAGATAAATATGCTAATAATTGACACAGAACTCTTTCTATTCATATTATCACTGGGCATGGGAAGTCTCCCAAATACTTCAGGTCAGGAGTAAAATGAATTTTTAGTCAAGTTGTCTGTTACTCCACTTGTGGGTAACATAACAAATGCACCATGATGATGTAGGATGCATTCTGTACTGGGGCAGAACTTAACCTGCCCCACTAAAGTGCAGATAGCAGAACAGACTGCTGCTTTTGTAGCTGACTTGCTTGCAAGTTTTGAAGTTGCTAAAAATCTTGAGTGTTTCCTCTAATATTCTTTCTAAGGAGTTTTCCACGGCTTTTAAAAATGTTTATATGCTTAAGGAAAACAGAAATGATGTTATAAACTAAAATTTTTTACTATCAGTTTCAGAAACAATTGACTTCTTTTCTTTCTCTGTTTTTTCTTTCTTTTTTTTTTTTTTAATACAGGCTACAAATAGGCACTTTCCTCAGACCGTTACAGGAGCTTACTTGAGTGGGGTTCGAGAAGCCAGCAAAATAGCAGCATTTTAAGTACTGAAATTTTGTGTTTATAGACATATTTTTAATTGATTTCTGTGGGTAAAATTATCTTCAAGTTTCCTATTGCTGCCTTTTTCCTACATGGTACTTGAATAGTATATGGTACCTGAAGATAAAGTCTTCATCTTCCTCTTCCTCCTTCTCCCCCACCCCATTTTTAGGCCCTGATGACAGATATTGTTGGGGGCTTTTTTCCAGCTAAGGTATTACTAGCAGGAGTCACATTGGAATCATCAGCCACAGCTTAACTAAGAGAACTTTTGTCAAGAGTCCTCTTCTGTATGGCTCAAGTCATGCTATTGTGAACCTTCATTTCAGAAGGTCAGATTAAAACAAGACTAAGTTAACATACAGCATTAAAAATGCTGGCAGTTAGTAATGATATGGGAATTCTCCACTAACTGTGCTTCTCAGGTTGATTATGCTCATAGGAGCTCAAACTGGTTTCCAAGAGCCTGAATAACCTAGAAAAAATCTAGGATTAATGTAGGAAGGAACTCAACTATCACTTTTCCCACTTGCAATCAGTAACCTTTTCTATAACATTTTTTCATATTCTTAGCATCCACTAAGCGGGCTTTGGGATATGAAGCTTGTTCCTTTAAATAAGAAAGCTGGAACAGTTTACAGTGCAATCATAGAAAGGTTATTGTAGCTGATCAAAACTTGAAAAATTAACTTCTAGCTTACTTTAAAAAACTTTGAATAAGTAGCAGAGATATTTCAGAGAAATTCTTGTTACAATAATAGGCTAAGAGTTTAGATTTGCTCATTGCTTCTGTAGAAACAGGACAGCTTAAAAATACCATGTTGCTATGATTATTTTGAAAAGAAACTTCCAGATTCATTTGGGCTGAATAGAGGAAGTATCTGCTGATTTGACTGTACAGTGAGGGATGCAGGACTGTAAGTTCCTAATATCTCATTGAAGTTTTATATTAAAAATTATGAAGATGAATGAGGAAAAATATTAACATTCTTATGAAGGGCTGAAACAAGGTGGCTTGCACTTTGACTTGAAGTTTTTTTTTCTTTTATTATGAAAGTATTATTAAAAACAACTTGAGAGAATAATTCAGTAACGGCTAGACATCTATCTAGTATCTTTTTCATGGAACAGAGAGGAAATACTTTTCAAGAGAAAGAAGAGAGATGTAACTGGGATACCTATTGTAATACTATTCCACTATATTGGTATTAATGAAAAAAAATGAAAATCCACTTTTAGATGTCTTCCCCGACACCTTCTCTGTAACTTGGCTGCATAGATGTCATGATTTCTGAAATGAACATAAGCACTTACTCTATCCTGCCCCATTCTCGTGCATTTTCTCTTTTATCAATCCCTCCATCTAAGAATGATACAGCACTTATTTCCTTAAAGCTGCATGCTTGGAAATACACAATGGGCAACCTTAAGAAAAATCATAGGATGTTAAGGGGTTGGAATGGACCTCAGCAATCTCTAGTCCCAATGCCATTCCCTGCCATGGGCAGGGACACCTCATACTAGACCAGGTTGCTCAAGGCCTTGTTCAACCTGGCTTTGAACACCAGCAGGGTCCTACTGAATAAATGCAATTCTGCTTTTCAAATATGTAGTATTTTGTTTTTAGAGTAGGAATGATATTGTTAAAACCCTTTATTTAATCTCTAATTTACAAGGTGAAGATGTTTATATAACTAGATGTTTTTCAGATATATATTCTGTTCTGCTTCTTAAAGCTGAGTTATATGGACTAATAGGAAGAGTGTAACTGTTCATAATTTTCCTCTACATAAATACTGGTATGTACAGTTTTAAAGTATTTCCAATTATTAAATTGCAATTTGAAGGCTGCAAGAAGCAAGACAAAGCCTTCTGATGATAAAAAACAATCAGGACATCAAATTTTGCTTTTGGCAGTCATTTGCACTTTGTTGATTTCATATATTACAGGCCAACTTATGGCATAACTAGCAAAGATTGAGAGCTATGTATATTTGTTTGAGTTCCAAGTTTCTTTCCCACTTTATCATGTATGACAAATTATTAGGAGAGAAGCTTCTGGTGGTGGGGAAAAAAGCTAATTACTATAAGCCCAAAACCTTATATTCAATGGCTGCTTTAGCTAACCATGCTTAAAAACTTCAGTCAGCTTAGTAACAGATACAAACATGTCACATTTCAGGTAGGAATGGTCTGGAAAGTTTAGCTCAGCATCCATTTCTCCAGTCCAAAGTCTGTATGAACATGCTTGATGTCATTTTGTTAATTTGTACTTGGGGTTTCAATTTGGCTACATCTTGGCAGCTAGATAAATGCTGTATTTGAGGGAAGAGAGATGGACATGAAGAAATTCTATCACATTTGGCTTTAGATGATGCACGCTTACAGCATTAGAAAAACAGATAAAAATTGGTAAATTTACCAATGGCCTAGTGTACTAATTGTATATTGTTTTGGTGCAGGGCACTTAAAACTGTTTTGTGCTGCACTAAAGTTTGAGGAGTAAATAAGTATGTTCCATTTTAATTTACGTTCATTTGAAATATGTAAGAACATCAGGCTGGTTCTGAGACTTCATTCTTTAATGTTGCCCAAAATTTTTTTAATATCTATGTTAAAATTTATTTCAAGCATGTATGTATTTTTTCTTTTGTGTTTAATTTATTCCCTCAAATAAAGAACTGGGGAATGTTTTCTTTGAGTAGGTTTGTTTAAATGTTATTAAAAAGATTTGAATGCAGAGCATGACCTGTTACACTTGAGTTCTTCTGTGTGACTATGTTATGACAGCGGAATAAAACTGGAAAGTATCCATGGGATGCCCCTGTTGTGGTTGTTGGGTTTTTTTTCCTTTAAATTTAACTAGTAGCAAAGCCTACTATTTTATTAAGACTTCATTTTGGTATATTCTTACAGCTAGACAATTCCTCAGAAGTGTTGCTTTACAGCCTTCTCTAAGCTCTAAGTCCTAAATGCTATTCTTTGGACAAAATTCACTGCTTTCCCTTAGCCCTGTCATACTTGGTTAGCAGTTCAAAGTTTGTACTTGAGGATTGTTCTCCAAATGCCAACTCATTACACCTGATGGTGCTTTTGAAAAACGGTAGCTTCATTCTAAGAAAAACAAGCTAAATAGAAATTAAATTTTTTAACATAATGTACAAATCAGCAGATTACATCATACTCTCTATAAAAATTACAATCCTTCAAAAAAAACCCAGAGGGTATGTTTTTCCTTTTGGCCTAGTTGTCTACCACTTAGGTGAGAAGTAAGTGAAATAGGACAGTGCAGTGAATGAGGTCAGGTGAAAGGGCAAGGCAAGTTACATCATACAAACATCCTCTTACACTCAGAAACTCAGGAGATCATCTGGTAGCAAAGCTGCTACTTGGAACAGGGCCAGCATGGAGCTGGTTACTTGGGCCCCTGCCAGATGTTTGATGTCCAAACACCTCCACCAATGAGGATTCCCCTGCTCCTCCAGGCCCCATTTCTGTCACCACCCACATGGTGAAATTTCTTCCCCTAACAAAAAACTGCAGAGCCCCTGGTGGCACCTTGGGCCTGCTGCCTCCCATCCTGTCCCTGTGGGCCTCCAAGCAGAGCCTGGCCCTGCCTTCCCCATACTCTCCCATTTGGGAGGTGCAGGCTGCAGGATGATCCCCCTTCACCCATCTCTTCTGCAGCCTGAACGGGCCCAGCTCTCTCTGCCTTCCCTCCTCCACCCTGTGCTCCAGCCCCCTCACCATCTGGGTGCCCTCCACTGGACTCACTCCATGATGTCTGCCCACAGCTGGACCCTGCTGCCAGGGCCAGCTCACAGGTGCAGAGCAGGGTGCCAGTCCCTGCCCTGAGCTACCGGCCCCACGTTGGCTGCAAGAGCCCTGAGTGCTGTCAGTGCTCCTTATCAGGAGTGCCCACTGCTGAATGGCCTCCATCAGCTGTCGGCAAGAACCGTCGGCCCCTGGCCAGGCCCTTTTTGGGAAATGTGCCTGGCATGACAACCCTGTCTCAACCCTCACTGTTCAGTGGAGATACTCTCTCCCAGAAAAAAGATGCTGCTTCTGCTTCTGTTAACCTGTATGAGATGCCTGTCAGCCCCTTTCTTCTGCAAACCAAGAATAAAGCTTTAGACCTGTAACTTCCAGCATCTTAGTTTAATAAATACTTCTGAGTCCAAAGGCAGGAGAAACATTTCTTTGCAGAAGGAAAACAACACAGAGTATTGATTTTACTACATTTCTTACTGCAAGTTTTTAGACAGTATTCTGGTATCTTACAGATTTTTCCATTCTTCTCCCTAAATAAAAACCACCAGAAGTCATTTCAGGGAGGTTTTCATCTAGTCCAGTTTAAGCTACTCTATTATAGTCAGCTTTCTCATTTGGAAACACGGAAGATTAGATCTGCCCAAGTGGTCCTGAGCCACCCTCTCTCTGAAACAGAAGAGCTAATAATAAACTTTACTTGAATCACTACGATGACACCCAGGGGTTTATTTCTCCAGATTAAGTACTGGCCTCCAAAAAGGTCATTTTCAAGTACAGCTGAGCAGTGGCTAATATAAACTCAGACAATTCTTAGATCTTGGTTTGTCATGTGCCTTGTAACAGCATAACATATAAAGAATACAGACCCTATAAACAGCCTGCTCAGGTCCAAGAAGGCTGTTAGTTTAGAGCTTTTGGAAAAAAGAATTTTGAATTTACAGCTGTGTCTTTGTAATTTCATGTTGGTTAGGTATGCCTAACCACTATACTATGGCTTACCACATAACTCTAAATGCATGTAACATCTTCTCACTCCAAATTACTGATCTCCTTCCCACCTAGCCCCCTCCATCTTCCTTCTCCTGAAGGCCCCATACACTGTTGCCAAAAGTGCTCATAAGAACACCTGCAAATAATTCAGATTAATTTGTGGTTTTGCTGATTACCAACCAAAATACTGAATACCAAAAGCCTAACCAAAAAGAGGAACCAACACACTGGATTGTAGGAATTATGCTGGAAGTGATCAAATCAAGATGGTTAGGAGTATTTTTCTCCAGAGTACAATGGTCAGGACATTACCTTAAGCACCTGGAAGGCATATGCCTGAACAATTTATTCAGTTATCTTTTATCCAGTTAACCCATTTCTATTTTTATGAGAGTGTGTGAACAGGATTTAGATCCTTGATCAGATGTGCTTCTAATCCAACAGCCTCAGGATAAGCAGGATATTTTATTTACCTTTTAACACTACCTTGCAGCCTTTCTCCCAGTTGCAGAAAGAAATGAAATCCTGTATCAGCTGCAGCCAGACTGGGATGCATTAGCAAGGAAACAGGCAGTCCTCTTCTCCACTGAGGACTAACAGTGAGTTGTTAAAAGATTTAAACAAAGCACTTGAAGAATGTCAAGTTCATTTCCATTCCATCTGTGCAATTCCGAAGTGGCAACTATTGCATATATACAATAAATAGAAGTGTGCTATCCTTTTCTAAGTTTTCATTAGAATTTAAATGATTAAAAAAATATTTATACTTTGGAGTTGTGAACTGTAAAAATACTTCCTGACCCATGTAATTAAAACTGGCTAGTACATTTACATAAAAATCAAAAGACAGTTCAAGTATTTGTAAAACACCAGCACTTAATACAAGTAAATTTCTGCTCTTAAGACTGACTTCAAAATTTCTGATGTTTTAAATTGCAAATTAAAAAGTGTTCTTTTTGCTGAGACAGTTAGAGACAAAAACCCACAAAAAAATCAAAACAAAACAAAACAACCTCACAGAAGATATAAAATTCTGGTGCAAGGACATACATTTCAGCAACAGTGTCTTCTAAAGTAGAAAAGCCAATATGAGATAAAGACAACCAACCATGTGCCTGTATAGGTTTTTTTTTACTATACATGTAAGCAAATGTTAGAGTAAAAGTGATTTGTATTTTTGTGAAAGACATTTATTGAATACAAAAAAATCCCCATTACATTCAGCCTTATTATAAATGATTACACGCAAAGAAATTCAAAAGTCTGTGTAAGATCAACAGTCTAACTGGCTGAACATTTTTGGAATTTAGATAATTTATGAACCCTTATTTCTCAACTGTACAATAATAAAATTCAAAAAAATACACTTTGTCTTTCCAGCAATACTAGTCAGAGGGATTCTGTGCTCACGGTGTGAATGGCAGCCCCCACTCTGGCAGCTCTTAGTTTCATGATTTTAAGAGTAGGACTTCCCATATTAGAAACAAGGTGTATGGAGAAAACTTAAACAAAAACTTACAGAGAGAGTTTGCTTTGATCCTAAAAGCTGCCAGCCACTAAAGACTGCAGGCTTACAAGTACCATTGTTCCTGCTGAGGCAATGAAGCTCAGGTTCAGGCAAGCTTTCCCATGCAGGAGAGAGGTTAAACACATGTTCACATCAGTGCTATCCGATTTGGAAGTCCTACTGTGGATTTCCAAAGCTATCAAGCCTTCAGCTGTGTATCTTGGATACCCACTTGTGAGATGCTAGAAATTTTCCTATTGCCTTTGGAGGGATTTTATTTACTACTTCCAAGACATTGAAACAATGTCTGTAGTCCCTGTATAAAATTAATCTACAGGTATGAACCTACAGTTTAGTTTTTGTACAAGGTAAGAGGAGACAAACATCATGAAACCTCAGCTCATTTTCATGAAACTTCTGCACACCACTTGTTATCACTGCCTCACTGCTGAACACTGACATTTCATGTCATAAATTCAAAGATATCAAGATTAAAAAACTGATTTGCACAAAAGAAATTTGAAATAACTTTATATACACAACAAAAAGCCTTTTGAAAGTACAAAAATAACATCTATCTGCCAATTAGTTACCATGCTGTGAGAGTTCTTTCAGTGCCTACACATGCAAGACTGTAATGGAGCTTCAGAATAATTCTGTATCTGTAGAATGTATCGGAATATAAAAGAGGTTAATATGTGACTAACTCTTCTTATTTTAGATTTAATATGTATTCAAAATATCTTTGTAACCAATACTGCAATATTCCAGTCTCTGCATGTATATGTGTAGATAAGCAGCTTTCATCTTAGTAAATTTTAAAATCTCCTGTACGCTGGTAATCCACGCTAAAAAGCTATGATGGCTCTAATGAACCTCTAATGAATCTAGTTATACAATGCAATTCAAAATGTACAAAACTATAAAAAGGGGACATTTATTGCCATGCATAAAACTTAAGTATGTTCAACTAAAAATTGCATCAAATGCAGTTCTGTTTAACAACAAAAAAAACCACACAAAGCAATTTACATTAACACTCTTAACATTAGATCAGCAGAATTAGATCTGACTAAAAATACAAGGGTAAGACACATTCCTTTTGCTGGTGCCTATCAGATCTTCCAATCCATGGAAACAAAAACCCAGGAATCTTCGTTTCCCTCAGTCAAATCAGATCATGAAATCAACTGAAAAGAAAAGTGCATTAGTTTTCTTCCTTTTTTCAATGCAATAATATATAACGTCTCCTTTTGTATCAAATTATCATGAAAATACACTCTCCTCTTGCTATCACAAAAAACCCAAAAACATCCCTAGAGCAGACAAATTGCTCTCTCATGCCTTTGCTGATAGTGACACAGGACACTATCTTGCTGTTCTGTGCACAAGACATAGACATAACAATTCTAGATAGTTATATATCAACATCTCTGAGTGAAGCCACAAGAAAATGAAGTTACTTTATTAACTATACTAAGTGAACCTCACTTCTATGGTTCCATTTTTAGTTTCAGGGCAAGCAAAAATAATGAAATACGATTTTTTTTTTTTACAAATTACAAAGCTCAGATTGGACAAGAAACCCTCCATCATAAGTACAGTAGATAAGGCCTGATCTTCAGCACAGCAAACTCAAAGGCAACACCATCATAACCATACCACCAGTTACCATAACTGTGCCACCAGGATAGAGAAAAGCTATCTGTCCTTATTCTCTTTTGCCTTATCTGACAGCTCTGCTGAGCTTGTACAACCTCCTCATGTGTTATCTATGAATGTACGTGGCCAGAGCCTGAATTAGAGTGCATCTTGTAGCCAAGGTTGTAATTTAAAGCAAATTCAGAGCTTTTGGAGTACAAGTCATTAAAAACTGTGATAACCTTAATTCTAGTTATGCTTACCAAACAAATACATAAGAGTAGTAGTGGCATGCTAAGAAAATCTGAAGCAATTATTTTCTTAAAGAGGGAAACACAAGGATGATCCCCCTTCATTCATCTCTTCTGCAGGCTGAACCAAAACATCAAAGGTTTAGGTGAGCACTAAACTTTCAATATTATATAAAAAGCTATTAAAACTGGTGCCAAGTTGAAGGAAAAAAACCCCACCCCAACCCAGAGTATTTTCTAAATGATAAAGTCTTTACCTCTTTGACTGTTTTTTTAATGAAGTCTTTTCTGTCAGATAAATCATAACTAGGATATTTTTCATACACCTAAAGAAAAGTAAAAACAAAACAAACACATAAACCTCAAATTATTTTCATTCAATAGATGGTATGAGTAGAAGAGGCTTAATTGAAATTAGGGCAAAAACCTATGTTGGTACATCTAGTACCACAACTGCTAAAATGCTCTCTGTTAATTAGGGGAAGACACAAGCTTATTTTCTTGTCTTTATTTTGATCACACAAATATTTAAATGCATGTACTCTTTTATGTTTGGTCACTGACTGAACTGGTGCTATAATTTTTCACATCAAATTGAAATACCAAGCTTGCCACGTCACACAAAAATGGAGAAGTAAGAATTCTCCATTTTTTGTTTTAAATGCTCTCTTAAGTAGTCAGATAGCCCTGCATTAGTGTAGGAAGGCAAACAACTAATGAAAAATAAATAAGCCTTGGTATTTGATAATAAGTAAAACTGATCCTTTCAAGAGACTACGAGAAGAGTCAAAATATTTGAGTGCTATTGTACAATTACTCTTTGGTTAACAGAGTGGAAGAGGACCAAACAAACAAAAACCAGATGCCAACACTGACAACCAGTTCCGAGTATTTTATTTCAGCATGCCAAATTTCAGACTTCTAGAATAAATATGAAAAAAGTTACATACAGTTTTCTCATAGCTTCTGGTTTAGTTTTCTCAAGGCAACATCTTGAAATTCCCAGGAAAACCAAACATGTGAGTTGACCAGAAAATATAAAGGTAACTGTTTGTGTTTTGGTCACTTCTCCCCACCCTTCCCTTTTCTGGCCACATGGTTCCCACCTGTTCTGACAACTAATGGATTTCTTGCTGAATTGATTCAACTCCCTAACTCAGCTGAGAACTATTCTGATAGATGCTGATAAGAGACAGCTGAATGGACTTATAAAGAGAAAGAAGAAGGAGTGTGCAAGGTGAGCAGCAGAAATGTACAGAGCACAGGGGACAGCACAAAGCTGCTGCACTATCTAAACGTGTCAGATATTTGCACTGTCACACATGGCACTTGCTTGGGAGGTAATACTGCTACATCCCAGGTAGCTCATTTTAATATTTCCCTTTTAATGCTGATATCAGTGTTGCATACCTAAAAAAAGCTCTCATTGTTATAGCTATCAGCAAGTAAATAAACCAATGCAAAACTATTTAGTTTTGAAACAACAGAAGAGTACAAGCCTTCATTTCTGAAATGATGATCAAAGTCAGTCCACAAACAATCCACTACCTATAAAGAGACTGCAAAATTGTACTTACTTCCTTGCAGATTTGTTTCATTGTAACCTCCTCCAAATTTGCATTGGCCAACAAATTCTTGACAGTTTCCTTCAGTTCTTCATCTGTGGGCGGTTTCTTCAGTTTTTTAATCAAAGGTTCATCATCTGAACTATCCTCAGACTCGCTTTCTAAATATGAAGAACAAATTGCATTGTAATAGGTTTCCAGTTTGTCTGTTTTCTTCCTTAAAAAGAGAAGCCATCAGAACTTGCCACAAACATCCAATCCAGATGTTTTCCTTTAAAATAGACATCTTGCTAGACTATCCACTTAAAAACAAAGCTAATGCCATCAGCACTACATTTATTTATGAATCTGTGTAATTACTGATGAACCATCAGTTTACAAATCAACAAGAACTCTAAAAGGTATAGGACTAATTTCACGTACCAAACTAATGAAAAAGACTTTACAACAATTCTATTTCAGGCATTATGGCCCTAAGAAAATAAAAAGTAATTATTTCCTTTAAAAAGGAGTTTATATTTCTTCTTTTCCCCTAGCAGTGTTGCACACTAGACTCTTGTAATTTTGCAATGTAATTCTGCCAACTTACTATCAGAGACTCAAGTAAGATCAGTATCTTACTTCCCCACCATGAGAAGAGAACAAATAGGGAGAACTTCATAAATAAAATTAAGTGAAGGGGCACAGGACACTAATACAATCTTTTCCAGCAGAAAATGAATTAGACTGAATGACTCCAACATCCACTCAGTTCCTCTACTGCCAACAAGACAAAATTCAGAGCAGCTGCCAAACAAACTAGATAATGACCGTACAGAATGACCTACTTAAACTGGAAAGAGAAATGCAGGAGGAGTAAATAAGAAATTACAAATATACTACATAACTTACAGGATAAACACATATATAACATTTGTGTGTAAATATATATGCTGATGACAAAATAAGGCGTACACACAACACAGCCACATTTAGAAGTCAAACTGAAAACACAGAGTTCAGCACAGGCCAGTTACTCTGTTGAGAAATAAGGCAATGAAAGAAATTGAGCATCATTCTGTGTCCAAGAGCTCACCTGCACCTTTCAGCAAAGCACTGACAAGAAGGGTAACTAATGTGACCTGATGCTTGTGCTGTAGCATGTATATGCCAAGGGCAGCATTAAAGGAAGTATTTTGCAGTATGGATATAAACTGCATCAGTAACTCACACTACAACTGTGACAGACCTGGCTGCTATCACAGAGTGTCAGAGAATTTAGGGTGGGAAAGGACCTCAGCAGATCATCTGGTAGCAAAGCTGCTGCTTGGAACAGGGCCAGCATGGAGCTGGTTACTTGGGCCCCTGCCAGATGTTTGATGTCCAAACACCTCCACCAATGAGGATTCCCCTGCTCCTCCAGGCCCCATTTCTGTCACCACCCACATGGTGAAATTTCTTCCCCTAACAAAAAACTGCAGAGCCCCTGGTGGCACCTTGGGCCTGCTGCCTCCCATCCTGTCCCTGTGGGCCTCCAAGCAGAGCCTGGCCCTGCCTTCCCCATACTCTCCCATTTGGGAGGTGCAGGCTGCAGGATGATCCCCCTTCACCCATCTCTTCTGCAGCCTGAACGGGCCCAGCTCTCTCTGCCTTCCCTCCTCCACCCTGTGCTCCAGCCCCCTCACCATCTGGGTGCCCTCCACTGGACTCACTCCATGATGTCCATGCCTGCCCACAGCTGGACCCTGCTGCCAGGGCCAGCTCACAGGTGCAGAGCAGGGTGCCAGTCCCTGCCCTGAGCTACCGGCCCCACGTTGGCTGCAAGAGCCCTGAGTGCTGTCAGTGCTCCTTATCAGGAGTGCCCACTGCTGAATGGCCTCCATCAGCTGTCGGCAAGAACCGTCGGCCCCTGGCCAGGCCCTTTTTGGAAATGTGCTTGGCATGACAACCCTGTCCCCACCCTCACTACTGCAATCTTTCCACAGTTATTAAGAGACTCAGTGTCTGTATACCCTTTATGCACATCCTGAGATATGAGAAAATCAACTGCAACAGGATGCAAGGAGAAAAGAATTTCTATGTTAACAAAAATCTTGTCTCAAGCTGCTGAATCAAAGACACACACATGGGATACACACCACTGCATGAATTACAAGACTCGCATAAAGACAATACAGAGGCCCAAACAGAACTTTACCAATGATTCTTCCAGCAAAATAGAGAACTTGGCTGATACTTTCAGTTTGTATGCAAATAAAAGCCATACACATGCTCAGCAGCATGACAGCAGGAAATGCATGAAATATATCCAAACCAACAGCTTTTTAAATTATTGTTTCAAGGAAAGAAACATCAAGTAGAAAACCAACAATTTACCAAATTCCATTTTCTTTCACACTAAGGTGCAAAAGCTTGCTTTCTAATAAGCATGCCAATTAAGCTACAGGGCAATGTATGATGAAAGATTTAAAGCATTTACCTTTTCTAGAACTGTTCTGGTTTTTCTTAGTAGTGCTGCTGTCTGCCTTCTTGACGTTTGCACCCTTCACAGCTTTCTTGGTTTTAGAAGTCATCTTTTTAGATTTTTCTCTTTTAGATGCTTTTCTTGGGGGCTACAAAAAAAAAAAAAAATCAGAAAATTAAAGTAATGTGTATTAATTCAACAATCCATACCTCTTTTCCAGAAAGGAAAATTTTCCACTCTAAGGACAATTAACTCCAGCCACTCCATGCCTAAGTTTCCAACAGAGCTGGTGCAGCAAAACACTGCCTACATCCTTCCAACTCCAGTATATCAAAAGCTGTCATAAACCCAACTCTTTTTAGAAATTCTGCTATCTTAAAGCTGTAAAAATAGGTATCTTCCATTTCATCAAGCCCTATTTTCAAATTAATCTGACAAAGCAATGCTTTTGAAATAATTATGCTTTTTATTCCATGCACCTAAACTTAACTTTCTGAAGACTTCAGTCCACTCAGGCCATTGCAGACATATCTAACTCCCACCTTTTTAAAGAAGGCAAAGATGACCCAGTTAGATCAATGGAGTTTACTGTTAGACCTTTTTGTTTGTTAGAATTTTGTTTGTTTGGAGAGTTTTTGATTTTTGGGGTTTTTTAAAAAATAACTGAGTTCTTGGAAATATGACAACAACTGCCTCTGAAAAAGATATTCCTCTCCTCACAGCAGAAACTCTGTTTTCCTGAAGAAATTAACAAATATGTCAACTTTTAATATTTCAGCCCTCTTTCAATTTGCCGTTTATAAGTAAAGAAAAAGGCACAATAAGAATTAAGGTTGTTCCCTGGAGGCATAGGAATTTCTTTGAACATTTTCTTTTAACATTAAACCCAACATCTATCAAAATGACCCCAACAAAACAAACTGTTAAGTTACATTAACTGCCTTTCAACAAAAGATTGCTACTATTTCCTATAGCTCAGACTGTTCCAACAGCCTGTCACACTTCCATTCCAACAGAGAATGTAACCCAAGTGAACAGTGGCCATATATGACAATCAAGGGTTCCATAGCTTCCATAAAGAACTGCTGGACACCAGCAGTTTGACCAATTGCACTTTGTTGCAGGGGTCTGATAAGGCATAATGGTTTTAAACTGAAGGAGGGTTGATTTAGGGGAGAAATGAGGAAGAATTTCTTTTGCAATGAGGTGGTGAAACACTGAAACAGGTTGCCCAGAGAGGCTGTGAATGCCCATCCTTGGAAACATTCCAGGCCAGGTTGAATGAGGCAACCTGATCCAGCTGATGTCTCTGCCCATTGCAGGACTAGATGACCTTTAAAAGGTTTCTTCCAACCCAAACTATTCCATGATTTGATGCTTCTTGTCTAGTATGCAGAAAGTTTAAAAAAAACACAGAATACAATGAGATTAAGACACTTCAGAGATTGCAAGGATTTTTCAAAGGCTGTCTACTATGTTGTCTACTTTAAGACACAAAACCTGAAGAGAGAGCTTAAGATACAAAATCCAGGAGGAATATGGAAACAAGACCCCAAACCAATGTAGTCAGATAGGTCAGTGACTCCTACTGAACTCAAAGTTAATTCCTGGGTATCAAATCAAACACTGCATTATGAAATTATAATGAAATCATCACAAGATGATATAAGAAATACAATCAATTAATTAGCAATCCTGGCTGCCCCAAAATGACACATAGGAAATGGTTTTATAAGGTGCATACATACACAGAAGAACCAGAACTTTTGCCTTTTATCTAAATGATTCTCTACATTCAACACACTCAGAATTTAAGAAAACCTCTTCTAAATTGCAGATGTGTTCCCTTTTCTTTCAGTTAAATATCACTTGCTCCCCAACTCTGTGTTCCAAGAGTTACCAATTCAGAGCAGTGACATAATGTTGAAAAACAAACAAAACAACTCATTACCTCATCTTCACTTTCTTTTTCTTCTGAAGACTCATCCTTTTCCTTTTTTTCATCTTCTTCACTACTGGATTCATCTGACAAGATCTCTGGGTACTTGGTACGTTTCGCTTTTCTTGTTGTTCCAGAGCTCGTGCGCTCTTTTTTACCACCTTTGCTTTGTGGTTTTTTGGACTTTGGCAATGGCTGAGAGACAAGAGATGTGTGTAATCCAAGTAAGAATACAAAAGTGAATTTAAAAAAGATAAATACTTTCCAATCACGTCAAAGAATAGTAAACAATATGGAGGTGTCTTAACACAACCCAGGACTATTTTATGACACTTAAGTCATAATATTTTGCAGCAAGCAAATATTCACTATTGAGACAGACTTGAGCAAAATGAAATTTCAGTTCTAAGCTAAGTGCACCCCTTCCCTAAGCTCAAAGATTGGGCATTAGAGAGGGAAGCAAGAAAAATTACTTCTAGATTGTTCTTTTACCTATGAATCCACAACACAAGTCTTTTCTCTGGGTAACAAGTCAGCTGAGAACTCAGAAGACTTAAAGGCAAGAATTTTGTCATATCTTATGCAAACCTGCATTTTGCTGCAACTCTGTGTCTCTAAAGCAGCTTGCTGACCCCTTATTCACATCACTTCCCAGTGTTTGCTGGAATAGATTTAGTTTCCTGAGCAACAGTGCAACTATTTTAGTATTACTTTTAGATTAAAAACTGAAAGTCCAAGAAGATTAACAACAGAGTTTAGCAGTCTTGGCAGTGACACTCTGAGTCTAGTGTGATGGTTTTGTATCCTGCAACAAATTCCATCTGGTGATGTCCAGATGTGATAACATACATGTGCTAAATACAGCAAACACAGGTAACATCCAAAGCTTGATTTTCCTGTCCTTTCATGTATCTATTCTCCTCCACCCACAAAGCAGAGGCTAATTGGTATTTGGGAATGGATATCCTAATTAGCTCCATGTGCTGAACTCACACTCTGTGCACTATCAGTGTGTAATGGGTACACCCACAAGTAAATAGAATTTCTATTTAGGCCCTCACCCCATTATGGATGCCTGCAGTAGTAGAACTACTCTCTTTCAACAAGTCATTCCTCCTTCAGTAAGTTAGAACAGAAATTGTATTATCACTGGAAACAAGCAAACAATGAGCAATAGAGAACAGACACATTTTCTATCAGAACAGAGCTATAAAAGCAAGCATAACAACCTGTACCTTACCTTGCCCGAAGATTTTGGATGCATAAGGAAGTTTAATATTCTGGTTACAAGTTCACTATTGACTCCTGATCTTTCCAAGTCAAGAACTTCACAGATACTTTTCAACATTGCATTTCTAAATCTGTAGGGGGAAAAAAAAAAAAAAGAAAAGATTCAGTATCATATACTAAACAATCAACATCTGACTGCTAGAAGCTGCTGTCTGGTTTGTGTCGGCCACCTGACAATACACATACACAGTCAACTACACTTCCAGTCTTATCTATGGTCCAAGCAAAGAATCACCACTACATTACATGAAGCAAAAGAAAACAGAATTCCCAAATCTGTATGTCTGTATAAGAGGATATTTTAAAAAAATAAGGAATCACAGTAAAAAAAGTATTACATTCTTTATGATCTATAGCCTGAATAGTAAGGTTCTGCAAAGTAGATATTGACCTTTGTTCATCTTGTTCAATGCTGCTAAAACATGACATGCAAGTGTAAAGACAGGGCAGAAATCAACCACAGAGGCAAAACAAACTAAGAAACTGATCAACAGTTTGTGTTCTACACACCTACAAATAGCAGCAGAAGCTATCACAGTAAGGCAAGCACACAGGGCTCTGCACCTTCATATGCAACCCAAAGCAAGCAGGTTTTGGAATATTTGCTGCTAGCAGTTGTTTCATATAGAAAATATGAAAAAAATTGTGCAAAACTACTTTATTTTGCAGCCTCTTTTTTTGATAAGGGGAATTAGCCAATTAAACCTTTGGGAAATGGTCAAAACTCCCACCAGGAGATAGAGTTTATCTTGTAGATTCCCATGTATTTGACAAACCATAGTCCTGGAAAACTGCATATCTGAGGAAGAAAAATTTAAAAATTCCAAATTCTGGAAGCCTTTCCACTATCAACAAACAGGCACTAAAAAGACTCCTAAGTTTTAGAATATATATTGTGCAGATGTTACTAGTTCTTTCATTTGTTATAACTAGCTACACAAATATGCAAGGGCATTTTAAACCCTTTCAGGACAGCAAAAACTAAGTTGCAGCAGCTTCTCCTGTTGATGGAAAAGCAACTTAAGAAGGGAGCCAGTAACCAAAAAAAAAGTTTCTGGGACTAGTTGCTATGGCAATTCTAGTATATTTCATATATAATAAGCAGAAATGGCTTTGGTTCTGAAGAAGGAAGATTTTGAGGCATAGAAGGATGCAGGTTTGCACCATGAATAAAGTACAATATGTTCACAACACTATGCTTGCCCCAGGGAAATAATGCCTTCCTCTCAACTTGGCAGAAGAATCTAATAGTTAGTATGCAATAGTTTAAGTTAGGAATGTAGGAATTGTGAATAAAATGTTCACAATATAACTTTTAATACATTTCAAGCTGTCTTAAGAGACCAGTTTGTGTGATTAAAATGAACTTAGAAAAGAAATTGTAGAGCTCTACTAAACAGTCACCTGGCTTATAGTTCAGCTTTAATCTCAAGTAAAATTGTAGAAGAAAAAAAAGGAAAACTATAGAGTGCAAAACATGAGTCAAGCTATGTTAACTATCAAGAGATCATTACTTTTTTAACATTTCTTCCTTCTTTTTATATTGGTCACTTCCTTTTTCAAATGGAAATCCACTGAACTGACCCACATTCTTCTTTAGGGATGCAACCTAGAACAGAGCACACAGATTACTTTTCATTGCAAGCAGTTTAAAAGATTTCATCAAATTACATTTGTTAACCTCTCATACAAGAAATGTCCTAACATTTTGTTTTCTGCTGACACAGCTACACCTTTTAAGTTATAACCTACATGGATTATGCCTTTACTCATCTCATGACAGACAAACTACAACAATTAAGTTCAACTTCTTGTGACCGCGGTACTTTTAATAACTTACTAGACAAAGTCACCTGCCATTTCAAGCTCATTTAAAATGTGCTGCATGATGATTTACAGGTTTGCAAAACTACAACATTATGAAGCTTGTTGCGTGCTTTGTATCACATAATTTGTTACATAATAGGGAATTTTATTTTTTATTCTACAATCTGCTGAAGCAGATTTACTTTACTAGCTATTCTGAAGTCTTACATAGGACCATGACTGTATTTTTCAACCTCTTACTAGTAGGACCAATTTTTGCATTTATGTACCACCCAATCCACAACTTCTACCATCATACCTGATGTCTGATCTGGGTTGAACTTTCATTGCACCAACCCTTATAATGGGAAAATTGCTCCCATCAAGATCAGAAGTGTATTTAAGTTTTGTTTTCACTTCATCTCCTTTTGCAAAATAACCCCCGAAGTTGTTAAAAAGCAACCCCAGATCTCTCCATCTTCTGAGATCTTTATGACACTATCAATAGCTTTCAATACTTTTACAAATTTTGTTTCTGCTGTTACTCCATTAGTCTATAATTTTACCAAAGCTGAGCTCCTTTTCCAAAGAGCTTTGTTCAGCACCTTAAGAAAAGTTGCAGGTGATACTAGTACGCTTTAATAAAAGTGTTAATTACAATTAAAAGCACACACAAATATGTGCATATGAAACAAGATCTGACCTTCACTATATTAAACAGCATTCTGAGTTCCCAAAAACTCTGATTAAATATAGTTTTGACTGAAACCATACTGACATATTCTTTTTTTGAATACTTGTGGCAACAGATCATTCTTTGCCATTTAAACAAACATTGCATTGGAAGCAGTGGTCTGAGATTTAGAGCTGGCACACAACTGTACTAGTAATATTCAAGTTCTGGTTTCTGTGCTAGCTGTTTAAGTCTCCAAAATATACAAATGTATTTTAAAAAGTTCCAATAATTATAGTAAACATATAGAAATAGTACATGTAAATCTGCCTCAATTTCACATTCTGCCTCCATTAGCAAAGAAAACAGGTCATATTTACTCTGAAATTATAGGCCCAATCAGTGATACATAAACCACTCCAAGAAAGACTTGCCATTATATTTTAAGTGTCACCCTTAAACACAAAATGGATGATATAATATTGTAATTATCTTAGGAAAACTGTTATATATAAAATCCTAATAGTGATTTTTATCACCTTTAGCTTTCTACTGCTTAGTACAAACAAAGAGAAAAATAGTAGATAAGCAGCAATGTATTAATACATAGAGTATTTTGAGTGTTATCTGCATGTCAGCAGCTTTTAGCATGTGAACCATAAATTATGCCCAACACATCCTTGTAAGGTAATCCACGATTCCCCCATTAAAAAAAAAATCCAATCTACATTCAAGAGACTTTTGATTTAGTACACCCTGCCACAAGATTTTTACAGAAGAGATTTTATAGGAGTTAAAAGGAGGAGACTTACTTAACTGGTCCTGCAAATACCCATTTTCTAAGTAGCTTGTAATAAATAACACTTAAGAAATAGATCAATATGTGCAAGTGTAAAAAACTGCACTACAAACATTTTCACTATACGTGAGAACTAATGGATATACAAGATTGAAATTCTTACAGTGCCTGGCCTGTTGTAGAGGAGTTTGTGCAGGTTCCTAAGTTCATCTGTCTTCTTTTTACTCAGAAAGAACTGTATCCTCTCAATTTCACAGAGTTTTTGTCCTTTACCTGAAACAATTAAAATAATTTATGCTATTTCATCACATTCGTATTTACCTACATGTTCATAACTTAAAGTTTCTATATTTTTTCTTTTTTTAGCAAAGAAGTTACTTAAAACCAGTATTAGACATTATAATAGGTCAAATATTAAGCAGGCCTTTTCCTATCAGTTCAGCATCCTGACAGGCTCTTTACCTGCCTTACTTGATAGCACTTACATCAGGGTACAAGAATTTGGCATTTCTTTATATTCTGGCTGTTCTTGCCTTTGTTAGTAGTGGCGAGGCACCAAAGGTCATATTCCAAGTAAGCTCAAATATCATGTAACATTTTTAAACTGATGCTACAGAATAAAAGAGGGTTTTCATATAATAGCCTTATTGTTTTAAGAAGGATCACGACTCATAAACTAGGTCTCAGCTACAACAAATTAGTAATTTCATCTTTTTAGAGTTTTCATTATCATTGCTAACGCTCACAATTTGTGTGTGAGAAGTCAAGCTTACCCGGTGTAATTGTAAAAGGTTCCTTCTGCAGTGAGGACACTTGCATGGTCAGCCGGTCAACTTTCTTCTTCTCCCTTTTTCCTTCAACAATGAGGCTCTTCTCTGCAAAAGAAAGCTTCCTCAAGCACAATATTCTTCATTGCAGATCTGACTGAAGTGACAGGCAACACAACACTGACTCTTTGAAACAGCAAATCAAAACCAGATGATGATATAAGCAGGTACCATGACACTTTCAGACCTTTGTCTAATAAGCCAATGTGATTCTATGGAGCTGCACGTACATAACTAGAAGCCTCTCTAGCTCTTCACCACAATCCTGTACGCAAGGTAACCTTGAAGACAAGACTAAAGGTAACTTTACATTACCTTTAGACATTTCCTAAAGGTAACTTCAGCATGATGAAGACTGCAGGACTAGGTGTATTCAGAAACCCATCCTTCTCTCCTTTCACTGCCTTGTTCAGGTACAAAATGACCCTGTTTACACATTCTCCTTGGATGCTGCAGTCAGTACACACACAGCTCCACACAAAGCACTCTGAAGAAGAATACTACTACCAGCTGGGCAAAAGCAGAGTCAAGGCTGCCTGCATACAGATTTGTTCCCCACTACTGGACTGGAGAAACGACACATTTCAGCAGGGGAGGGAGAAGCACAAGTGCAGTGGGACTGCACACTGCAGGGCACAATAACAAGTGTCACAAATACAACAAGAGTATTATTCCCAGTAATTCTGGTAGTGCTTACTAATGAATACATTTGGGTTGTTTTACGTACACCCTGCACATCACTCATTTAATACCACTCTGAAGAAAAAGTTAAAGCTTCATTTAAACATTTCATACTAAAACACTTGCCCTCAAATAACACTATCCTTAGAGCTAAACAGATGGGCTGTCCTGGCTTTAACATCTAAAAGTAGCTTCAAAACCTGTATGAACATAATCAGAACCAGAGCAAAAAGATTTTTTCCTGAAAATCCAATGCTAATTACTTCACTGTTTTCCAAACCTGTTTTCTTTCTACTACCTTTCCTAAAGACAAACTGCATCTCTTTCAAGGATCCAAGAGCATGAGGGACTTGGTTTTTACTGTGCCACATTACAGCTCTATTTCCATGAATGCTTTCCTTTTGAAAACAGATGCCTGGAGAGTTCACAATAGAAATTAACATTTTTGCATAGTAGTTCCTTCATCTTGTTTTGTTCTCCTTGACTACCTTCAATTACCACAACAAAAAACTTGCCACAACAAAAAACTTGCCTTGTTTGCTCATCCTTTCATTTTGCCACAATTTTTTATTACCAAAATTAGTCTAAAAGAATTTCCGCTGACCCAATATAATTACATTTGGATACCCAGAAAATTAATTCACTGTAGTTAAGCAAAAACATTTGTGTTGTTTTCAAAACTACTGCACACTTACAAGTTTCTCTTTTGCAAACACAGGTCTCTTCAGTGCGTTACTGGCAAAAAAATAATCTGATAAGGGACACTACCTACTATAATCATTGAAAAAGTTACACATCAACAAAAAAAAATCCCTAGTACAGAAGTCCAGGATACTGGCAATTCCTTAAACCTTTTCTGAGAGAAATCAGCATCACTGTTTTTAGCACTGCCTGCTATAGACTACTGGGAAGCTATGATGACCCATGAGACAGATGCACCATGGAATCTCCTCAATAACAGTACAATTAGCCAGAGACAGGAGACTGCATTCAATAGCTTGGCATTCATTAAAGAACAACTTAATAAATGGAAAAAAGGTACCCTTTTCTTCTTCCTCTTCCTCCTCTTCCTCCTCTTCATCTTCATCACTTTCCTCAGCTTTGTTTTCAGTTTCAGGTTGTTTCTCGTCTGTTTTTTCTGATGACATTGTATCTTCTTTTGATGAGTCAACAGAAGACATGGTATATGCTTCTGCAGAAAGAGTCAGGGGAAACCATCATCAACAGAACAACATCCATAACAAACACAGGAATCTTGCTTTCAAAAATGATCTCCCTGTGCAGCAGAAGCAGTGTGCTGGTACTGTGACTGTTCACATTCTCTAATCCCTAAGGTGTCTGACGTACACACAATACACACAACTTTTCCGAACAAGTTGCCATCCATTCTGCAATTAGTCTGGTTAAGAACACTCTAAAAAGTTATAAATTCTATTCACACACAAGTCTTCAAGCTGCTTTTGTGAAGCATTCGGAAACACCCACTCAAAGCAGCTGATACTGTTATCTATTAAAAACTGCAGTGTTTTAAGATATTACCATTTTATTGCACCCTTCTATAAACTTAATACTTATTCTTGATCATGGTTAACTATGCATACAAGTCTCCTAGTAACTTAAACAAGTTACTTATTTAGACGGGAAATGGGAACAGAAACATTTTTAAAAAATAACTTGCAAGCAATTCAGGAAAGAATTAACACTGCTTTCATAACCCAGACAGCTGCTGCATCTTTAGGCATAAAAATACTTCCTGGATTTAATTTACAGATCTACAGCAAAAAAGAATAAATGCTTCATACTTCACATATTTAAGAGTCTTTTCTTAACATCTGAAATGGCCTATAGGTAAACTTTAAAACTAAAATATCTTAGTTATACATATACCATTTCCCTACTAACAGAAAGCATCTATCCAATAGAACAAGATAACCATATGTTTCCCTTTTTTAAATTCTAGCTTTCAAAAATTTTCACCGTTTAGATCTGGAACAGAATTTCACACAATTAACCATTTTCTTTTGGCAATACTAGAGCCAGTATTATCTGCTAGGTGCAATAAGTAACATTTTAATCTGCTGCTTATGTGCAGCATTAGTAGGTATCAGAGATCAGTGGTGTTCCAAATGACAGAAAACACGAGTTAATACTTATTGCCAATAGTACAGGAAAAGTAAAGTTTCCTGGCTAAATAATCGGGGAAAAATACATCCTTCAGGGTATTACTACCAGTATTTCATTTGTAGTAAATAATCTGTCACTTCAGTAGTCTGGCATTTTCATTTTACTTGAAGGCATGAGTAAAAGCAAGAGAAGCACTACAAGCTGTCTTTCCCTCCCCTTTCAATGGGAACAGAAGGGGGAAAGTTAAGAGACTTCTTAGCTTTCCACCACCGGGGTTCGGGACGACGTTTTGCTTAGGGAAAAAGGGTTCTGGGATGCACCTTTACCGGGAGAGGGTCTCCCGCCCTCGGCTGGGGCTTTTCACACGAGGACTTTACACCTATTCCCCCTTCCCGATCTGTACGCTGGATGCCGGGGCGAACGGACGGCGACGCGCAGCGCCCGGTGGCGCGGGCGGCCAAGGCGGCACCGCCTCACCGCTGCAGCCGGGCTGAGGAGCGCCCGGTCCGCTCCCGCCGCAGGACACGGCGGGACCCAGCACACAGCCCGGGCAGGGGCGAGGCAGCGCCGGTGACAAGCGCCCCGCACACGGCGTGTCCGCGGGGCGGGACGGGAGCCCGGCGGCGCGGCGGCCGCGTTTCATTTCTCCTCGCCGCAGTCCGTCCCTGCTCGGCCCGGGCGCGGCGAGGCGGGACCGCTCTCGGGCGCCGTTACGGCCATGGCGGCAGGACCCACCTCAGCACGAGCCCCGGCTCCCTCCTCAGGCGCGGCGGCAGCAGCTGAAGGCGGCAGTTACCGCTGGACGAGGCGAGTCCGGGCGCAGCGACACACACACGCCAGCCGCGGCACAGCGCTACGACCAGCAGCCACTCTTGCCCTTTCCCTCTCCTTCTCCCTCTACCCTCCCTCCCGGAATCAACAAGGTTTTCAAAATGGCGGGTTCTCGGGCGGCGAGGAGGAAGCGGGAAGGCGGCGGCCAATCAGCGCCCGCGTTCCCGCCGGCGCGGGGAGGGCAGGGGAGGGTGCGCGTCACGCCCGCCCGCCCGCCCGCGGTGACGTCAGGCCGCGCGCGGCGGCGAGCGCGCGCTCCTGCTGAGGGGCGGGGGGATGTGAGCGGCGCGGCGTTGCGTTTTCCCTTTCAAAAGCGGCACCGTCGGTAGTTGTAGCGGCTTAAAAAAAAACAAAAAAAAAAATCCCCACAAAACCCAAAAACTTTAAAATAAGGAATTCGTACCTCTTATCCTGCCTAAATTGGGCAGTGATTAATATACGCTCCCTAGACTTTCCTTTTATACACAGTAGCGTTTCCCAATAGCTGTGGCACAGGTTGCCCAGAGAAGCTGTGGGTGCCCCATCCCTGGAAGCGTCCCAAGGTCAGGTTGGATGGGGCTCTCAGCAACCTGGGCTAGTGGAATATGTCCCTGCCCGCATCAGGTTGGGACTAGATGATCTCTAAGGTCCCTTCCAACCCAATCCGTTCTAGGTTCTTAAGTATTTAGTAGTATTTGTGTTACACATGAATCCTACTTTTACTACCACTGCTACGTGACTGCTTCCCGCGCGCCTACGATGAACAATTCCCAGGAGTGTGGCATTCTTCCCGCTTCCTCCGTATTACTCCAGCGCGGCTCCTCCCCGTGGGGGCTGGCGCAAAGCTCCCGTTCCCTGCCGCGGTTCCGTGCGGGGGATCCCTTCCCTGCGCGCATCCCCGCGGCGGCGGCGCCGGGCGGGCCCGCGCCGTGCAACGGCCGCGCCTCGCTCGGGCCGCGGCGGGCCCGGGGGTTGCGGCCAACGGGAGGGAACGGCTGAGGAGCCAAGTCGCCTCTTTGCTCCTGCAAAATGTAGGGTCACAGGCGGCTCCAGAAAGAGCCGAGGGGCCAGCCCCACTCGCTGAGGACTTCGAGTGCGCTGTGGCCGGAGTTCAATTCTTAAGTTTAAGATTTAATCTTGGAGCCTGAGAAGAGGCCAGGCTGGTCTCCACGTTACCTACAACAGGAGTCGGGTGTACACAAGCGGTATGTTGTAGGAAAGCAGCCCGAACTAGCCAGTGCAGGTGTCTTGTCTGAAAGCCGTGTTATCCCAACGGCAGTTTCTTGGCTGCTGTGAGGAGCTATAGGCACATGGCTCTTTGGGAGGTAAAGGGACAGTAAAAGAGAGGAAATGAAAAGTGTCGCACTTCTGTGAATTGTTCATCTTAGATGCATGTGAAACATAGTCCTGTAGAATTGGTAGTAAACCCAGGAAATATGTGTAACACAAATACTACAAAATATTTAGAATCAAAGAACAGACTGGGTTGGAGTAGGACCTTAAAGGCCATCAGGTGCCAGTCCGCCTGCTGTGGGCAGAGACACCTTCCACTAGCTCAGGTTGCTCAGAGCCCCATCCAATCTGGCCTTGAACACTGCCAGGGATGAGGCATCCACAGGTGCTCTGGGCAATCTGTAGGATAAAGATATTAGGAAATACTACAATTTATGTGCTGTGTACAAAAGGAGAGTCTGGGGAGCGTATATTAATCGCCGCCCAATTTAGGCAAGAGAGATGCAGATTCCTTATTTTAAAGCTTTTTTTAAAAGCTGGTGCAATCACAGATGGTGGTCATTTTAAAAGGGAAAATGTAAATTATTTACCAACAATATGTAATTAGACAAGCTTATTGTTAACACACAATAATGAGACAAAAATATAATTGAGCCATGGGCTACACAAATGGCATGAGACATGTTTGAAGACAACAAACTACTTCCTGTAAGATGAATAAGTCTGGATTAATTCAGAATTGTGACAGAAAACATCCAAAGGCTGTGCTTCGGGTTGTGATGATAAATTAGATCATCATTTTGTAAAGAGGGATGTATTTACCCAATGGAGATGATTTGCCTAACTGAATTACATATATTGATATTCTACACATACCACATTAGATGCACCTTCATCTTGAGGAGAAAGAAGATAATGGTTTCATTGATCCTTTTAGTGAAGTCATGCCACTTTAGTAGCTGACAGACCCTAAAACATAAACAAAATCCACTATTTTAGGAACTTATATACTTGGCGCAGGTAAATTTCATTTTGTCACAGATTCCTCTGGCAGAACTTCAACAGCTATGATAATTTCTCTTGATTGTATTTTTGAAACCTTCGCTGCCCTTCATAGTATCTTTTTGATTTACAGCTTTATGGAGTAGTTTCAGTATGCTGTCAACAGTTTAGTAATTGGTTGTTGCATTCCCAGATAAGACTGAGACAATATGGGTTAAGAAGACTTAAGAAAAAAATCTTCAAAGCTATAATTTGGGAGAAGGAGGGGACCAATTTGAAAAAAAAAATCAGATATGTTTTAAAGGGAAATTTCTAAATTCAAGAAAATAGTTTGAAACTGGTTTGTCTTCTCATTTTGAGTATGAGTAGGAATGCTGATTCTCAGTATACTGCCTTGGGATGATATGCTGTATCAACACTTCTATATTGCTGTCTTCTCCCAGTCTGAGGAAGTTCACTTAATTATATTATTTCAGTTGAGATTTGAAAGACCTGGATGCGATAATGGTATTGCTATAAAATATTAGCATTATCTCAGGAGTTTAGACAGTTTAATGAAAGGTTCTAAATGCAACGTAAAAGCCTTAATCCTGGAAGAAGGACAAATTAGAAGGGGATAAGTAATTTTAAGTGGTCCTTAACAGTTGCTTCCTATAACCTGCTCTTCTTATTCCACCACAGAGAGTGTGCTTCTCTACTGTCAGAGTCCTAATGTTAAGGACACACTGAGTTTTGACATCTAGCTCCATCTGCAGAGGCCAGTTCTGTGAAACACTGTTCTCCTGGAGGTATCTGGGGCTCAGTTTTAGATGTCAAAGGGTATGTTTCTTAGACATCATTGCTCAGTAGCATTAAATGGTGAAAACTCCTTTGAGAGGGCTGTAAAAAGGGGCAGCTTCATGTTTCAGCGTACATTACAAGCTTGTATTTTATGTTGAAGTGCACCACGCAGTGCAGTTTTAAACATGGTCACCAGCTGCTGTTAATTAATAAAAACAGCACTTTTCAGTTAGTTGAGAGCAGCTTGTATTAGCAAGCAACGTTTATTGGCTCTCAGTATAGAGCATAAAGCAATGTATGAGAAGCTTTTGAGAGCAGAAATGTAGGCTTCCCTTTACAAAGTCCCCCAGGGTTGCATTTATTTTGTTTACAAAATGACCGGTTTACTGCAGTGTCCTGCCATCAGCACAGAAACTGGCAAGTCTGTGGGCAAAACTACAGAAAAGGTTATCTGTGGATTGCAGAGAAAGTGCCCTGCGTCAAAGTAGACACCAAGTACCTCTTATTTGGATTTTTATCCATAGAGTAAAATACCACAGCAGCAAATGGGGGGTTACTACTTTTCTATTAATGTAGGTACTGTTGCTTTGTGTTCCTATATGAGTCATTTAAATAGATATATGTGTGTGTCCACACTTCAGGGTTTTTCTAACAGTCATGTGACAAGGTTTCCTAGAAATGTCAAAATGCCTGGCCTGTGAAATTCTGAGAAAATTCTGTACAAATGCCAAGTACATCTTTATTACCATTAGGAGCAGTGTGTGGCTTTTGAATCTAAAGGTTATTTAATCACTGTTGAAAGCAGGAATCTAAATATGAACCAATAATTGTGCTAATTAATACAATTTAAAAGACAAGAACTTGAAAACTATTTGGGTAGTATGCAGTTAAGTTGTGCTGTGATCAATAGCATAAGCTGAGACTCTTCAGGTTTGCATATTTGTGCAAGGTGTTTTACTTTTATTGACTGATAAGAAGACTCAATTTGCACAGTGTTTCCTAAGGGGGTCCTGCATCCTACATTAATTTTCTTTTTTTATACTAAGTGTTTCAGAATTTTAACATGCTGTTGCATCTATCATCAGCCTTGTCATGCCTGATCCTTAAGAAGCTTAAAGAGCTGTCCCTGTAAATACAAATACTTGCAAACATGAAATGTGTAATCAATGTGAAGTCAATCCAAACAGTTTCACTGTACTTTAGAAATCTCTTTTTGTGCCATGATTCAGGGTAAGTATGTGCAAGATTCAGCAAAATTGTAAAGTACAAAGAAACATCAGAGATAGACAATGAATCAAAGGAGGATACGAAGGCACGTTTTTCATCTGTGTCTAGTAACAACATTGATGTTTTGCCAGACTGAGCTCTGTGTGGGGATTTCTGTTTACCTTCCACTTACCACAAAGTCAAATCTTACTTTGCAGGGTTTGAAAATTACCACTTTGTGTGTGTTTGGGAAGACGTACAACTCTGTGTTCAGTCAAAGCATGCATGTCTTTTCTGTGTTCTATGCAATATAACATGCATGTCTTTTCTGTGTTCTATGCAGTACTCCGATCTACTGCTAGATGCAGTATTTAGAAGGAAGAGCCTGGGAGCTGTGCACAGACGACCTGTAGCTCCCATAGGTGACAGACCTAAAGAAGTCTGCTGTTGACACCAAGGAGAGGGGTGTAAAAGGGCCCTTGCCTTAGTGTCCCACCGACTTCTCACTATCGAGCTGTGCTCAGGATGGTTTCCAGAGCAAAGCATGGCAAGGACAGAATCTGACCTGCAGTGAATGCTCACTCAGTTACCAGCCTCCCACTACCTTGGGGAGAGCGTTGCAATGAATAGTGCCTGGATGTGCCAGCAAGGTATGCAAATGTTATGGAACCCACACTTTGGAAAAAGAAACACTGTCCATTCATTTATGCCTTAAAGGTTTGAGTCTGCAAATTTCTACTTGGCAAGTCCGTAGGTATTTGCACAATTCATTTACAATTACACATTTTTGAACTTACAGTAAATGGAAAACATTGCTGGGGCCATTACTACATTGCACTAGAAGGAGTTTACACTTAGACCATCAAGTTATATGACAAACTGGTGGTTTTCCACATGCATTGTATGTAGGTATTG